CATTCATATTATTAATCTCTCTGGTGATCTGTCTGAAATTTGTGGTGTTTTATTTCTGCCCTCGGGATCGTTATCAGGATGAGAATCGTTATCAGGATGAGAAACATTATCACCATCATCATCTTTGTTTTCATCACGTTGTCGTAGTCTGCATCTTTCATCTTCATGGCCAGCATCGCATAGCATCACCATCATCATCATTGTTAATTTCGTCATCATCATCATCGTCGTCGTCATCATCATCATCGTCGTCGTCATCATCATCGTCGGCTGCTTTATCATCGCAAATTATATCATTATTTTGTCACCGCTGTATATCAATTTTATTATCCTTATTATTCTTAATATTACTGTTGTTGTTGTTGTTGTTGTTGTAGTTGTTGTTGTTATTGTTGTTAGTATTTTTTTCAATATTACAGCCATTCATTTTCACCCATTCATCATTAAATCGCGGGCGAACGGTTGTGGTGATTCTTTCGCCATCACCACCATCAACGCCATCATCGTCATCATTTTCATCATCGTTATCAGCATCCTTTTCCTTTTCCTCTTCTTCCTCTTCCTCTTTCTCATCATCATCATTATCGTCATCCTCATTGATGCAATCATAGCCGTATTTATAGTATTTATATTTATACAAATACTGCAACCATTATAATTACTACTACTACTGCTACTACTGATGCTGCTACTACTACTACAATGATTACTACTACTACTACTACTACTACTACTACTACTACTACTACTACTACTACTACTACTACTACTGCTACTACTGATGCTGCTACTACTACTACAATGATTACTACTACTACTACTACTACTACTACTACTACTACTACTACTACAACTACTACTACAGCTACTACAATAAAAATAATAACAACAACAATAATAAAAAGTTGATGTTACTTTTAATCACATTTTTTGTTGCCGGCAACATTTTTTCGCTAATTCTAAATGAACTTGCACTGTCAAAATTGACGCGGCGAACATTGTTATTAGTATTTTTATTGATGTGAACACCCACACACCACACATATACACACACACATACAAACACGCACACACACACACACACTCACGATTTATTAACCTTAATTACAGCAAAACATCCGATAAGTATCTATCAACAAATTTTAATCGAGATCATAGCAACAACAAAAATGACTGCAACAACTGCTACTACAACTACTAATGCTGCCGCTGCAGCGACTGCCACCGCAACTACAGCAGCAATGACAGTCGCTACCAAAAATTACGTTGTAACTTCTGAAATGGGGTATTTCCTGATTGTATATCTGGTGGTACTCTCAATTGTTGGTACGGCGGGTAATACGCTGGTTCTTGTGGTATTTTACCGGAAGAAGGACAAGCAGGTTGGGTATTATTATTATTTTATTATTGTCATTATTATTATTATATTATTATTAATAATTAATATAATAATAATAATTATTATTATTATGATCTAATTATATTATTTTATTTTATAATTTTTTTCCTGTCTTTTGACCGTGAAAAAAGAGTTTCTATTGTTGTTGTTTGTTGTTGTTTGTTGTCGTTGCGGTGTTGTTGTGGTTGTTGCTGCAGATGATGATGTTGATGATGATGATAATTATAGAAATGATGGTGATGATGATGATGAAGCTGACGACAACGACGCAACTTAGAGAAGATAATGAATGTTAAAAGGACTTTTGATTAACGATTCGTTGGCGTTATCGCTATTAATCTGGCGAGAAAAAAATGCATTAGCGATATGACGTCATTGAACGAAAGCAAAAACAAAACAAAGACGCGACAGCCACTACTACTTCTGCAGCTGCTACTGAATTAGCCCTTATTTTTACTACTACTAATGGCTTTGCACCTGCTGCCACTGCTGCTACTACTGCAGCTACAACATCGTAAAACAATAAGATAAATGTAAACAACAACAACTACTACACAATGAGCAAAGTGATGAAATACACAGTCGATGATGGCGATTTGTCGAAAAAATGAATTTGCCAAATATGTCCATCGACATATAACCGAATAAATTTATTTTTCTCATGTTTATTCGCATACACAT